CTGTGAATCTCCTGCTTGTCTGTAAGCACTAGGACTCGGGGAATGCAATTATATCGGATTGGTACTCCGGAAATAGATGGAGTTTGTTGAACCTCTATCAGACTTACAAACCTGGAAATTTGGAATATGCATGTGGTTTACAGGACAGACAGAGGACGAGGGCAAAAATTCCCGATAGCGGCGGAGGAATTCATAGCCACAGCTATGATAGATGTTTTGATGAGGAAGTAACCAGGATGAACCCAGAGCAATGATATTGACTATGTGAACCTTGAGTAAGGGGAATGTACCACAATAATGCAATCGGCATCTGAAAAATCCACGGAGTATGATACAGTACTTCAAGACTACTATTGGCAGAGACATGCGTTTACTGCCTCCAAAAATTCCCCTTAACTTACACCACTTGCATCAGCTTTCACCCACCCCAGAATATACCTTGGATTCTTTCAGCCATGGATAATCTCTCTCATGACGACAGGACTAACCCCACAAGAGCACGCCCCCCCCGGTTTTTGGAAACCTAACGATGACACATTAAAATTAGTTTTCTGAGGTGTGATCGCATGGCTGGGAGGTTACTCAGTGTGGACAAGATCATCACACTACTATGATTTACTCCATGAAAGTTCTCTCACGCTACGCAGTCCCATGAACCACCATTGAACATTATCTGCAGGCGCACCGGAAGATTTCCTTTCCAATATTCACCTTTTGTGCCAGACCACTACTCTGGCAATCAACCTAACCCTGCCCTACCCTTCCGTTGCTTCTTTTCTTTGGGATTCTCTCAACTCCTTCTGGCCCCTCGTTAGGAACCAAAAATCTTTCCTCCAAGCAGGACGTGGGATATATTCTCTTTCTCTAAGATATTGATCCATGCCACACCTATACAGGAGAATTTCCGGAAGATTCCAACTTGCTTACCAAATAGCCTACATGCAATACAATTGAAAAAGGACCAGAGACTCAAACAGCTCTCGAGAAATCTATCCCCTTGTGGATAAGAATAGAAAAATATAATAATTAATTATAGTGCCGCTGATTAGCAATACATTGGGGACTACTCGTTCGATAGAAACATTGAATAAAGGATGATAGCACTGATCTCCATCATCTGGACTCGCTCACCAATTACTCATACAGTAAGTATTGAAAAGTAAATAAAATGGAGGTAATGATCAGTAATGAGGATTTACGCAGCGTAGTATAATCATGCGAGTGGATATATGAGGTTTTACTTAGGTGAAGAGGAAGACCATGATTGATTGCTCGGAGATCACCGGAAGGAAGATCTTAAGGAGAAAGGTAAAACAGAGAGAGTAGTTGTCTCGTAAGAGAGAACAAAAGGGAAGTCAAGACATGGATGAGAAAACCTTTCATGGTTTATGCCTTCATCAGTAGTGCGGACATATACTACTAAAGCCACCATGTATGAGCACATCCTGCACCAAGTATGGCCATCAACTGCTATTTCCAACAGTAAGCCATCGGATATGAACTATTGTAGCACTAATTGCTGCTGAGCTTAACTTACTCCCAATCTTTCCAAAGCTCAATATCTGAAAATAGACCCGTATCAAACCTCCCTTCACCTTCGACTCCAGAGATCTCTCTTTCCTGCAGTCCTCAACTGTGGCTGGCTCTGTCCCTTGTCAGTAACCTTAGGATAAATGAATGACGTGAAATCGGCTCTGGAGCAATCTAGCCGATCAACTACTTTTTGGTTTGATGCCTCTAGTGCTCTTTCTAGTCCACAGTCGGTTTTACCAGCCAGAAGCTCACAGCTGGATTTTCGGCTTCACTAATCCCCCGCTATGGGTCTCCCGAACCCGGGTTACACAGGGCGCACAATTGAATTGAAATCTTTTATTACCAAGAATGGTGACCCAGCTAGAAACCAGAGGTAAATAATTTTCTGCCATACTCGTGGGCATGGGACAACCCAAGTGTCCTGATGGAAGGCTAGTTACAATTGGTGTCCTGCAGGTCTTCAATTAACAAAATAAGGAACTTCTGATCACCAAGCATTGGAGCCTATCCTCGATAGGCAGCAGAATATCCGTGGCTCGCAAAGGAAGGAACCAAAGCTTTTCTGCACTAAAATCCAGGTAGCTCGCGAAACACGGGTTTGTTCTCTTGATACAGGGCAAATACCGGAACCAGGGCACGTGAAGCAGGACCAATACTCCATTCAAAATTCAAAATCAAATGCCACAGATAGTGAATGAAGTGGCGGGAAATTGCTACAGATAGAATTAAACAGGGTGGAAATGGGATTAAACTTCCGACACTCATTCCCGAGCTACCAACCGAGTCATAATCCTCCCTGTTCTCATACTTCCCAGGGACAAAACAATCACCTGTGTTCCATCTGACTCACTACAGCTCCTGTATATATCTAGAAGTTATTTCCGCATGCAGACCGAAATGGTTCCCTGAGTTATCCTACTTTGTGGGTTTTTGGATCTAGTCCTGCTAGGCCGAGCTTTCGTCCACCTTAGGTCAGGTCACGCCCTCTCGTTTTATGTCCTTGGGGACATATTTCAGGGCTTGATGCGGATCTGTTTACCCCTGTTGTCATAATTGGCACTAAGGGGACTTGTTACGGTACTGCGAGGGAGATTTCTATCTATGATATTATCTAATATGATACTCGCATATCCAGGGGCTGGCCCCAATAGCTAATGGATTGGTCACGTGTCGGTGGGGGGATACACTGGGAGGAAAAATAAAATGAAGAAGGGAAATGGGATCACAAACAATCCATCTCCCAAGAGCGAAGCAGGGCTTTTTCTCTAACTGTCGCCCTCGATAAAACTATAACCACAGCCTTATTCCACTAAGAAGAAGCAGGGGAGGGGCGGCCAAGAAATATAGAAAAAAGGAAATGGAACTCCAAAGCCCGAGGCCAGACCCGACTAGCTAATAAATACATTGGTAAGCGGACTTGACACTTCCCTCCTCTTCCAAACTACTTTTATCGCTTCCTACGGTCTCCAGAGCGGTCCCCATCCAGTTGCTCCTTCTATCGGGGTCACTCGACAGGTTCGGACATTGACAGTAAATGCCGATCTACCTATGAACCCCACAATGTACAATCCGCCAGATAGCCAGTTTGCATCTCAAAGGCGGGTAATAATGAGAATGAAGAGACCGGGTCGAACAAGAGTCGGGTAGCGCAAAAGGTTAGGTTAGAACATTCGGTGTGCGGCAGCGGCTACTGTAATGTGGTGCGGGTGGGGGTGTTGGGGTTGTTGGACTGGGTGTGGGGTGAAGGAGACCAAGAGATAGCGGGTTTGGAGGGGTCAGGTAAGTAGCGAGGGTCACAGATCTGGGTTTGTATATTCGAGTGAACTCCGCATGAGGTAATTCAAAATTTAGAAAACAGCGGCGGAAGTCCTCCCCGGCAGCCGGCGGCAGAAGGAGATATGGGATCAGGGAAATGAATAGTAGACTTTTTTTTGGGGTGCGTAACAGATTATGGTTGTGGGGCGGTAGACTGCCGGGAATGCGGCGTGCATAGGTAGGAGTCGGGATTTCTTGTGATAGTGGTATGAAACTGATGGTATTATAATCCCCATAGTAGAGTGTTGCCATGGTTGAGAGGATAGATGTGGCAGAGCATGGGAGCATAGGTACATGCAGAGACATGTATGGGAAATGTATCAGTGGAGGTATACATGTATGTGGTGCTTGTAGGCACAGATGGGTATGAGGGTCTACCCTCTTGTGGTGTCTTTCCATCTATGTATTAGATAGCTTGCCACCTTCTGTGGACAAGCACAACACACTTCTCCTCACCTCCGATCCTACCACGAACTGTGCATGTCCACCACCTCCATCAGAAACAAGGGCAAGAGAAGGAGTCAGTGAATATGGGATAGGAAAGAGGGAATATCGAGAGTCGGTGGCAACTTTAGGGATCGGATATTAGAGTGGTTGGACAATTGCGAGTGTCCTAGGTGGTTGAGCTACTTCCGTGATCCGGACGAGCCCCTGCATTAGGAACTCCCCCGTGTCTGAGGAGAAGCTGCACAATCGATTCATGACCTAGTGATTTAGCTGCTTGGAGTGCATTGCCATAGCGGCCACCCTGCGCATTCACCTCTGCCCTATGCTCGAGGAGAAGCCGCACAACCGATTCGTTTCTATTTGCCGCAGCTGCTTGGAGTGCATTGCCATACTCGCCACCCTGCGCATTCACCTCTGCCCCAGCTCAAGGAGAAGCCGCACAACCGATTCGTGTCCATTTGTTGCAGCTGCATGGAGTGCATTGCCATTCAGGTCACCCTGCGCATTCACCTCTGCCCCACGCTCAAGGAGAAGCCGCACAACCGATTCGTTTCCATTTGTTGCAGCTACATCGAGTGCATAGCCCACTGGTCACT